TGGTGCAAATTACTGACCTCTGTCATCATTTTAAGTGGGGGAACTTGCACAATCGGTGGCTGACTAAATACTTTTTTGCCCCACTGTATGTTTCATCTGCTGCTGTGTGCACAGTGTTTGCTCTAATTTGTGACAGCAGGAACATGAAGAACACATTGTTCCCTTTCAGTCGATTCACTCGGTAAAACACTTGATAGTATGATAGTAGGATATCACGCCCTCACGTGTCCTGGCTGACGAAACCTTTATTCACGCCTTTAAGGCAGATGACATGTGATGACACGCGCACGGCCCCGCCTGCACATATAGCCGCTGTCATCACACTCATCCCTCAGTTCTTATGCTCTGAGACGCTGAGAACACTTCTGGTGAGTTGAGCTAGCTAGCTGCTGCTAGCTTAACTGCCCCTGTTGGTGTTAGCCTCCACCGCGCAGTTGGTGCGTAGGCTGCCCGCGGAGCGCTAATTTCAAGTTTTCCTGTGCAGCGTTTTGCTTTGCATTTTGGAATGGACTCCAAACCGAAGCGAGCTCCTTTCCGAGTCTGGAGCCCTTGCTTCGTCTGAGTCAGAAGACGAGGATCCAGTCGATGTCCCCGCAATTAGCTGGGCTGACCGCATGGAATATGTTGACAGGTTAGCCGATGAGGAGCCGGAACCATGCAGGAGCGCTGACGGGCTTTAGCCTGGGTTGAAGCCCGCCAGCACTCCCCAGGAAGATGATGACATGCTGGACATCGGCCTGGACATCCATGGTTTGTCGGAGGATAAGCAGGAGAGCTCATTGTCGGCCCAATGTGCCACCCCTGCAGCACCGGTCGGCCATAATGACGCCTCTCTTTTCTCCCTGTTTTGTCGTGCTGCTGAGAAGCTGTAGGTGGACTGGCCCTCTCCTCTGCTAGCTCAGAAGCCGTCACAGTTCGAGGGTTTTTTCCTCCCACCAGAGCCCACAACGGCCAAAAACTGCCTTCCCTAGTTCCCAGACTTTGTCTGCGAACTAACAGCATAATGAGACAAACCTCTGTCTACCAGCATCACTGTGCCCCTGTCATGTGGGGGCTGTGTGCAGGCAGGAGTGGTGATAAGGAGGACCCAATGTGCAGACACTCGGAGGCAGAAAGTAAACTCAAACTCAGATTTATTGCTAGATGGCAAACAGAGAACTAGCAAAACTGGGAATACAAATACTAAACTGAAAATAACAATAACCTGAACTGGCAAACAGACAGAACAAACAGCAAAATGATGGTGGATAAGGGTAGATCACGACACGGACACAGAGAAACACAGGGCTTAAATACACAGAGGGAGCAATCAGGAAATGGGTAACAGCAGGGAAACACAGCTGGGGCAAATCAGGCCTAACGAAGGAAAGAAGCAAAACCAGACGCATTTACATGAGACACGGACTTTCAAAGTAAAACAGGAAACATAACACAGAGACGCGAACTTGACAAGGGGATACAGCTGACAGGGGAGCCAGAGCAACTAGAGAACACAGAAACATAAACCATTAGACAGAACTCTAACAAAGAAACCAAAGACTAGAAATGATAAATAATATAATAAACTCAAAACCCTGGGTCAACGACCCAGGCATCCTAACAGCCCGGCTATGGACAGTACATGGAATTGGACGGCGTCTGGCTTAGCTAACCCACCCCCTATGGAGCCGTCTCTGGCTGCTTATCTGGCCCCGTCCCATAACCATGGTGTCGGCGGCTCTGCAACTCT